AAAGCTTCAGTATACTGATGGTACTGTGTTGTAGTCCAAAACTAGGACTTATGTTTTGGGTTAGGTCCATCTATCGTCATATCTTGGATATGCCTTCAGTGATTTTGAAAAGCTAGTACAAAAGACATATCATAATGAGCTACATATGCACATTGACAGTTTTTTTTATTCCCTTGTAATTTGACTGACTGGTGGCCATTTTTGTCCCAAAAACCACCAAAAATGTGTCATCATCCAATTTTATTCAAACAGTCAGGGTACTGCCAACTACATGTAACGATCTGGTTAGACCACATGCATTCAATGCACTGTCAAATCACTACCTGGTTGGACCAGGCCTTCCTGAATCAGGTTGTGAAACAAATTGATGTGCATATGTATAATATAATGTATGTGCGAAGTTTGAATGTAATTGGTCCATGCATGTCTAAGATATAGCGACGGATGTACACATGCATGCTTGCACATAGGTCAATCCACTCGGACTGCATCCAAAAAGGGACTAACTAACCATCTTGTTGGACCAGATACATTCAAAGCACTGTCAACTAACTACCTTTAGTCGATACAGAGCTACAGTAATTCAGCCTAAAATATTAGTATAAGAAATCAATGTCAGTTAATACTCAGAATTTGTAGTAATCTACAAATAAATCAAGTTTTGCAACATCTATATACATATTTGTACTGTATTAGTTTGCTCTATTAGAAGAACCTGTGGTTATTTAAAATACAGACTTAGGTGAACCTATGATAGACATGTTTAAATTATTTAGCATACAGTGAATGCAATTTTCAGTGTTGGGTTACTGTAATTTGTGAAATTCCGAAATAAGAATATATGGTCACCGAACCATAGTTTTTTCACAAAACAACATTGAAAATTGATAAAAATTGCATGTTTTGAGTAGTTTACAATTGGTTCTTATGGCAGAAACATTTCATCATACATGTATCTCAAAATTGTCGACAGTGACCTATGCTACAAAAGTGACATGTAGTATTATGAGGGCTACATATGACTAATATTTGTATATAATGTAAGTTATCCATGGAATAATGTGTTTACATGAATTTTATGGAAAATGTTCCAAAATGGATGATTTTTGGATTTTTTTGTATATGCTTTCTTGATAACGCATCTCCTTCTTTTCATAAAAAACTTTAAATATAAATGACATGCATGTATGTGAATCATCTCACAACAACTTTTGAATGATTTACTTGATTTGATCAATATTTTTCATGTTTTAGTGGTAGTGAATTACCTTAAGTGCACTTGTATTGGAGATGCGCTTTTAACAGAGCAAATACAGTGTACATATCATTGGAAATGGAATTGAATTCAAAGTCAGTTTACAGGGGGTTTTAAAAATAGTGTTTCAATTAAGTACTAGGCAGTATACAGAATGAAGTATAAGGCTATTGCTACATTACACCATAACTGCCTTATTTATTGCAACATATTGCTACCCACATTGTGACAGTACCTTTGTACAATCAACACTTTCTGCCAAATTCACTCGTATTCCTAGCACTGAACAGCACATAGCAAATATTACCCACACAACTACACAGCCTAATACACATCGACTGTTTCGTGATGTTTCAAGTACAGGTAAAATAAAGAGGCATGGCGAGGCAACTCTACATAGACAAACCAGTAGATTAAAATAATTTTATAAAGCAGGTGAAGTTAAACATTGCATCTTTGAAAGACAGTGTATTTTCTGTACAATATCTTAACGAGGAAGGCATGCTTATAACGTTATCCGACGACATCCAAGATATGACTGATATGTTCCGATGTGCACTGGAAGGCGTTGGTACCGACTACCATCGATTGAAAATAATAACCGAATGATATTCTCCTACACAACCTGCCATGAATCATGTTGTTAATAGTGAAGTACAACAAGAAACAAGTACAGGTAGCGACGCACAGGAGCAACGATCGTCGTCAGTGTCAAAGAGGTTGAAGTTTGAATACAAATCGCCACAAGATTTGGACATGGAAATAAGGAATGAAGAATTCAATGAACTCCAACTTGAAGTTCAACATGCAGAGTCCTTATTCAACGAGTTAAATAAACAATACAGTGTGTCGATAACAACCCCCGCGACCAAACAAAAAAACGATGTGGATCTTGTCATCTTGTCGGTGATCACAATCGCAAAAACTGTATGAACGAGTGTTGTGTCTCAGCCAAGATTTGTGGCGATATCAACCACGCAGATAAACGCGCAGCATTAAATAAATCTGCAAAGGTTCATGACGATTTGAAAAAAAAAAAAAAAGCAAAAGTAGATGAACCGACCGCGGTTGCTGAAAACTTACGCCCTACTGCAGGGAACACTGCTCTCGGCACCTCGCCGGTATTCATATTACCACCACTCTCCACAATTTCCTTTATGATTATTTGAGATAAATCATCACTGAGTGACGTTCCCTTCTGGTAGGGTCTGTTGTAACAATTATAGTTTGCCATAACCAATATTACATCGGAATCTGAAACACTGACACGGACGGCGGGCACGATCAGGCTTTCTTGTTCACGTAGTTTGTAGTAAAGACGCCAAGTAAACGAAGTGTTACAATGTGTTCACATTTTGGTTAAAATTATAAAGAGTGCAACCTGATTTGTCTCAATGTTTGGCTGTCGAATAATGCTACATTCATGCATCTAACTACCAAATCGAAACACTTTTTAAAAACCCTGTAGCTCCATCTATTGCTGTCAATGTTATTCCCGAGGCAAACAAATGCTGCACTGCACCCATTGATGGTATAGATTAAATGTTCAAGTAGTAACCTTACCTTGGGCTTCTGTAGAACGCTTTAATTTAACTGGATTGCTGAAAGAAATTTAATCGAATCAATACAATCATCAAGACAATGCTGTTCTTAAATTGGTACTTTGAATTGGCCGATTTTTGAATTATTATTCACTGGGTGTTATTTTCACTTATTTTGATGATAGCTAAATTAATCCCAGTAAATATTTAATTTAACCACAAAATGTGAAATCAATTGCAACATGAATTTTGCTAACACTATGCTAGCATCATTAGATTGTATTAAGGTAGCGAGAAGGTTTTGTGACGTTTTTAAATAAAACATTCTCTGTCTGTTGTCTCGTTCAGAACAGTAATTTAGGTTATATATATCAAAAGACTAAGTATAGAGGTGCAAGTTCGCACAAACTGGACAGACATTGTTTACATAATTATCACGTGACATCAAAAATGGCGAACCTTGTAAAAATTACTAAGTCCGCGATTGCGAGAGCACACTGCGCAATTTCCTGGTGAAATTTACGTCATGCATTGTCCGTAATCAAGTCCATTGAAATGCGTCTCCGATAATCAAAGACCTATTATT